AACGATTATATTCGTTATATTGTAATTGTTAGAAAAGATAACGAATATAATCGTTACTTTTATCGTTTTAGGTACTTTAGAACTTAAGATACTTGTAGAACATAACTTTCTCAATTTTGAAATTATATCTAAATATCTATTATAATTAGAAAAAAAATAGTTCATGTTTTCATTAATTCCAGATAATTGACATCATAATAAACATTATGTTAGCGAGCACAGTATACTTTGCAGACCCAAATGCATTAAAAGGTACGTTAATAAATACGTTACTGGTGGCGCAACCGACTATTTTCCTAGGAGTGCCTAGAGTATGGGAAAAGATATATGAAAAAATGCAAGAGAAAGCGCGTAGTAATGGGGTAATAAAAACCTGGATTGCTGAATGGGCAAAAGCACAAGCTCTTCATTATTACACAAATAAAATAAATGGCATAGATTATAAACAATGGGGCTACGTCTTTGCAAAATGGCTCGTTTTCGACAAAGTCAAGGCAGCATTGGGTTTAAATAAGTGCCACATCTGCTTTACCGGAGCAGCACCTATAAATATCGATATTAAAAGGCATTTCTTGAGTTTAGATATATCTTTAATAGATGTATATGGAATGTCTGAAAGTAGTGGACCTCATACACTAACCGACTTTAAAGAATACAAGTAAATTATCTGCTTTTATTCTTTATATTTTTACAAAGATATTTACCTTTAAAATATATTGTATACAATAAACGATATTTTTATTTATTTATAGTCTGTATGGTGTGGGAAAATCTTTACCTGGGCTATATATAAAATTAGATAATATAAATGAACACGGTGAAGGAGAAGTTTGTATGAGTGGACGAAACATATTTATGGGTTACTTAAATGCACCGAAGCAAACTGAAGAAACTAAAGATAAAGATGGCTGGTTGCATAGTGGTGATTTCGGTAAATTCGATTCAAACGGGAATTTGTCTATTACTGGTAAACATTTGTTTTACACCTATTAACATTATGTAAATACGTCATTATGTAATACTTAATTAGTGTTGAAAATAACACTATTCAACAAAAGAAGATATCAGAACGAGACTAGTTATTTTCTATAGTTTTTTTGGACTATAAATTCAAATTGTTCTATCACGCCACAATTTTGAGATCAATTGAGATCATAAAAAGTATTATTTTAGCGTATTTTCTCATATCATAATTACAATATGTGTGATTTTATTTAAGAAATTTTATTGCAATCAAAATAAAGTATAGTGTTAGGACTTTCAATATACTCTAAATGATTATTTAATATTGGCTATAATTAGTAACATATTCATGATTAAAATCTATGGCGGAAAAACTGTGAATTTTATTAAACAGTTTTCAATTATATTTATTTAAATCTAAAAGTTTTTTTAGGCTACTGAATAAGAATCCAATATCAAAATTAACCAACTCAAAGGGTCTAAAACTCTTAAGTTTAAATAAACATAATTAAAACAGTTATTTGATTAAATCATCAAAGACTTAATTCATGCAGTTTTTCCGCAATAAACTCATAATTTTATTTTTGGAATTTTCTTCAGATTACAACGTGATAAAGCAATTTGAAAAAAATGGATTCGTGTATATTTGACATCTAAAAAACTATAAAAAATGACCATTTCGATTTTCGAAAAGAAGATTTTTTTGTCAAATAGTGTAATATATCACGCATATACATATGTTATGTCAGCAAATATATATATATATATATTTTACTTTTTACATTCACAGGTAGAATAAAAGAACTTATAATCACAAGTGGAGGGGAAAATGTGGCATCATACAATATAGAGCAAGCAATATTGTCGGAATTATCATATTTAAGTAATGCTATGGTAATTGGAGATCGAAGGAAATATTTAACGGTCCTTGTCACGCTTAAGGTACAATTCGAGAAAATAAAAGAATATAAATTTAAAATTATAAATGTTTAAATACATTTTTTTCAGAGTAATATGAATGAAGAGACTGGCGCACCATTAGATACGCTGGCGCCAGATGTATTAAAATGGGCAGAGTCTATTGGTAGTAGTGCTAAAACGGTTACAGAAGTTATAAACTCTCGTGATTTAGCCGTAAGTTTTAAAAATGACTTAGATAATTAATATTATTTAACATTATGCATAAATAAATTTATTTATTTTTTTTAAGACAAATCAAAATCGAACAAATGAATGCGAACAATGTCACAAATAAACAGCTTATTATATATACTTTAAAACTCTTGAATAATTACCACAGTCATATTGAAGCGTGACGTCACAAGCGAGAAATGACACGTTAATTTTTGTTACGTGCCATTTGTAAATAAAAACAATTTGAATAAAACAAAATGATGAGATAGTTTTAAAACAATTGTAAAAATGGATAAAATCTATCCTTATCCCCTCTAACAAAACGCTTCTGACGATTCAATATGGTTGTGTTAACACTGGTAATTACTCAAGAGCCTTAATGAATGCAAACGACATGGCCAGTGGCAGCACTCGTTTTTGTTTATTTAATCTGGATATTTAAATATTAGAATATTTCTTATTCTTTTAGATATATGGAGAAATCGACAAGGCAATTAAGAGAGCAAATATGCGAACTGTAAATAATGTTCAAAAAGTACGGAAATTCGAAATTCTTCCCCACGATTTTTCGATTCCAACCGGTGAATTGGGACCCACCTTAAAACTTAAAAAGAATGTAGTTCAGAAGATGTATGCTGATTTAATCGACAAAATGTATGAATAAAATTCTACATTACTATCATAATAATATTAATAAAGCCCGGTTTCACAATATGTATAGTTATCTAAAGATTAAAGTTTATCAAGAGATTCATGAATGAAATTCATTTGTCTATTAAAATCTGTAATCAATACAAAATACACATTAGTTGGAAAGTCACGAATTGTATTGATAGCATTGGGCAGACACGATTATGCAACCACTTAGTAACACAAAGCACTGGAATGATGAAACGTGAATGTAAATCATATTATGAAAATAATGACTGTGCCCGAACTATTTGGAGAGTTTCGCCATAACTTTTATCGTCACAATATTGAACCATCAGTCCATAAAATTTAAGCTTGAATTCGCAATTTTAAAGAAACAATCTTAATACATGAAAGAAGATAACAAATCGCATAAGCAAATGCAGCAAAGGACCGTGATAACGAAAATAAAAGTGGCGGCGAAATTTTTTACGAGCGATTTGAATGTTATAGTCATTATATTTTTATAGCACAATTTCATATATATATTGTTTATGCTATACCATTCTAACGCTTATGTTTATTAAATAATATCGAAGCTATATATTAATGTGATTAATCCTACCAACATAATTCATGACCCATCAATTTGCAAAAAAATTTCCAGTTTTTTGTTCATCTTGTATATATTATATATATAATTTAGTTCAATTTATATTTTAT